CGTGCACCCCCCAGTTCCTGCACACTCTCGTTCCTTTCACGGGAAGCTCTTCCAAAGAACGGCCCCTGCTTTCTCTGCTTCCTCACCTCCTGTTCCCTCTCGACCCACTGGAATCCGGTCTGTGGCTTCCACGGTTCCACTGCAAGTCCCTCTGATAAAAGACACCAATGAAGTCCTGGTTGCCAAACACAATGGATCTTCCCATGTTTTCTCCTACTTCACCTCTTGATCACTCCCTCATTCCTTAGGCTGCTTTTCCCCTGATGTTTGTAAAGTTGCTCTCCCCTGGTTCTCCAGCCTCTTCCGTCACCTGACATGTACCTTTTCCTGCCCCTCTTCCTTAGCCAGACTCTGTCATGGGGTCCCCTTCTCACCCACACCCCCTTCCTGGACAAGCCCATGCCCTCCTGTGGCTCCACGGTCCTCTTGTAGGTGGAGGACCCCACTCCGCCGCCCTGACTTTCCTCTGTGCTGCTGCTGGACGTCTCTGTCTGGTGCCTGCAGAAGGCATCTCAAATGAAACATGCACACAACTAAGCATATTACTCCCTGAGCTCTGTCCTGAACACCAGGGAGTGTCACCGTTCCCTTCCCTTACTGCTTTACTTAGTGACCAAGGCGTGGAACCTCTACTGCGCTAACTGTCCTCATGTACTTTCCTCTTCTGCATCCCACCCGCTACTGTCTTGGTTCGAGTCTTTGTCATTTCCCATCTAAATTACTGCCATAGTCTCCTAACTGGTTCCCCTGCCCCCATCCTGCCTTCTGTGCCAATCTCTTCTTTAGCTAGCTGTCAGAGTGATCTTGTCACTCAAAAATGCTGAAATAACCACCCCATTTTCCATTTTAACATCCTCTAATGATAGTGCTCAGCAATAAAAAAAAGAATGAACTACTGATACATGCAACAACGTGGATGAGTCCCAAAAATATTATGCTGAGTGAAAGAAGACAGGCACAAAAAAGCACATAATATATGATTCAACTCATGTGAAACTGTAGGATTGGCAAAATGAATCTATGGTGGGGAAATCGGACCGGTGCCAGAATCTGAGGGTGGGGAGGCTGGATGGAAGGGGCGCTGGGAGCTTTCTGGGGTGGTGGGCAAGTTCTAGGTCTTGATATGCTTGAATCAAAACAGAGTGGACCACCTAGAGCTCATCATCTCACGGTGTATAAGTTATACCTCGATTTCAAAACAAGAAACAAACAAGTAGATTATTTTAAAACCCTGTGACGGCTCTCTCTTGCCTATAAATAAAAGAGCAGAATTTTGAGTTTCATTCCAAACCATCTGGCCTCTGCCTCCCCCTCCACTCAGTCCCTCCACCCCGTCTTGAGCCCACCGCGTCCTGAGCCCTGAGCTCCAGCCACACTGAACTCTTCGCTGTCGCCAGGGTTCTCAGGCTCTTCTATGTGCTTGTGACTTCGCCTCTGCTCTGCCATCACAGCGACTTCCTCTTCCCTCTTTGTACAATCTCCGAGAGTCTCTCATCTCCCAAGACCCGGCTCAAGCGTGACCTCCCCTGTGAAAGCTTGATTTTCATCCCCCCCACCAAGGAACCCTCGTGCTCCCGCTCCACCTCAGGCACACGTCCCGCTTCACCGCATTATTTATGCATCTGTCGCTTCCTACAGCACCGCCAGCTGCCTGCGGGCAGCGGCTCTTTTCTGGCATACCCCTGTGTCCTTGGCACCTTGCACAGAGTCTGACATATTGAGGGTACCCAAATGAAATTTAGTGAAAGAAGTTAGGGACAGACAGAAGGCAGTTACTTAACAAGTGGCAGTGCCATAATTTGTGACCAAGACTGACTGACTCACTCACTCGCTCTGAAACTCTTCCCTAGTTACTTTTGAGAAAGCTGAATTACAGGGACAAGTATCACCCAGCAGTGGTGGGGTGTCCCTGCAGTTGACACCAGTGTGAGAGGATGGGGGCCGGCACACACCTGACTCTACACCCCCCACCTACCAGGCCCCACCTCTCTGTCTGCCAGCTTTATCTCTTTGTCCTAGAGATGCCATGGGCCCCTCTCTCCACCACATGTCTTAGCTAAAGGGTAAAACAGCCATTTCATTCTCAGTCCACCCAAGGGAGCATCTGAGTATCCCAGCCCATGGCTGGGCATAAACAAAGTTGCATCAGAAATCTGTTCTCTGGGGCCAGCCCGGTGGCGCACTGGATAGTGCGCCGCTTGGGAGGGCGGCGGCGCTCCCGCCCGAGGGTTCGGATCCCACATACAGACCGGTTCCCGCTCACTGGCTGAGCGAGGAGCGGGAGCAACACCGAGGGTTGCGATCCCGTTGACGGTCCCCGGTCCGGTACGGGGGCGACACTGAGGGTTGCGATCCGTTGCCGGACACGGAAAAAGACAAAAGACAAAAAAAAAAAAAATCTGTTCTCTGTACTCATTTACTTTTCTGTTGTTTTCATCTTTGCATACTTGATTGGTATCAGTTTGCCTTTATTAGATATATATTTAAGAGTGGAATCACTGCACCATAGGGCAGGCATATGTTCAGATTTAGTAGATAAAATGAAACAGTTTTCCAAAGTGGTTAAACCAGTTTGCACTCCCACCAACAGGGTGTGAGAGCCCCAGTGGCTCCACATTCTGTTCAATACTTGGCATTTTCCATCACTTAAACTAGAGCCTTGCTGGTAGGATAAACTGCATTCCTGAATTCTAATATTCAATTTGCTAAACTAAGACAGATTTTTAAGTGGACATTTCCCCTGCACCAGGGTCAGGATGGCTAAGAGAGAGGCACACTGTGGGCGCTAGGTGCAGGTGGTGGCGGGTGCCGAGGAGAGCTGGAGAGCTGGCTCAGGATACAGGAATGAGGCTGGGGTGCTTCGTGGTGACAGGCCCCTCCTGCCTGGGAGTGGCTCTTTCCCTGTTAGAAAAGGAGGTGCAGAATAACACAATATAAGAAACGTTGAGGTCAGGTAAGAGACTTGGTTCTGGACCCGCCTAGGCTGACCACTTGGTGTCTGGGGTTGGCAACTCATTTTCCCTTGTATAAGGAGCACATTAGGTTTTCAGTTCCGGAATTTTGGACACTGGCTCTGGAATCTGTCTCCTCTGCCCCTGAGCCTGCCTTATCCTTCTTCTCGCCTGCCTGGAGGTCATCGGGGCTTCATCCTCTCCCTCCCCCCAGCCAGTCTGCAGGGGTTGGGCTCCAGTGGGATGGGGGACTCGCTCTCTGGGGGGCCCCATCCTTCGGTGGAGCCTGAGGCCTGAGCACAGCCTTTATTTGACCTTAGTGGGGTGGGGGTGGGATGTTTTTGTTCCCCAGCTTTAACTTGGAGCCTGGTTATGACTTCCTCCATATCTACGACGGACGGGACTCTCTCAGCCCTCTCATAGGAAGCTTCTACGGCTCTCAGCTCCCAGGCCGCATTGAAAGCAGCAGCAATAGCCTCTTCCTCGCATTCCGCAGCGATGCATCCGTGAGCAATGCTGGCTTCGTCATTGACTACACAGGTAAGGGTCGTGGTGCCAGAGATGACTGAGGGCAGGGCCCGCCAGACCTGGCAGCGGGGGAGCAGTGTAGGGTACCGAGGAGAGCACTGAATTGGACCATGGGGAGCCCATTAGAAGCCAACTGTTGCCACCTGCAGAGGACCTGCCTTCTCTGCGGCCCTGCACATGGCTTAGTCTTTTACACCTATAGGCCCCAGGGCTAGGAGAGAAGCGGGCCAGCATTCCTTTTGCACCCCATTTCTACTTCCAAATCATTATTCCTCTTCTCCCCTTTTCCTATGAGGGTCATGTCTAGCTCTACTTCAGTCTCACAACCTCCCTCCGTACCTGTCAGCTAATACCTTCCTGGCCACTCCCTGCATTGATGAGGGTTCTGATATAAGGCTCAACTTTCTTCTCTACCCTAAAGCCTCCTGCTATCCTGGGTAACTTCAATTCCCATATGGGCAGCCCTTCTAATCCTAGGGTCACAAAGCTTGGACCTCTGTCCCAAGGACACTCGTTGGCCATACTCTGGCACCTTGTCATAGACTGGTCACTTTCTGATACTCTCTGATTTCATTTGCTTCTCCTTCCAGCTGTCCCAATCTCTTACTCATTGTACCTTTGAATTACTTAAGAAAAGCTCAGTAGTACAGGGGTCAAAATGCAGGACTCAGCTCTGCGTTTGTAGCACCAAAGCAGCCACAGACAGAGCATAAAGGAACAGGTGTGGCTGTGTTCTAATACGAATTTACTTACAGACTATCAGATGAACTGGGTTGAAAGCTCATGTTTACTAATTAGCAGTTGTGTGACTGTGGACAAGTTATTTAATCTCTCAAAACCTCCATTTCTTCATCTATAAAATGATGGCAGGAAAGTTCCTGCCTCCCAGAAACGTTGTAAAGATCAACAAGTCCACCCATGAAAGTCCTCAGTACAGTGCCCAGCACAGATCACACGTTCTAGAATGTTCAGATGGTATTGGTGGTGGGAGAGTAGTTCCAGGCTCTCAACAACTCCATGTTCTTCTACTCTGTTATTCTCTTTTGACCTTTTCTTCGTCCCTAATTATCCCAAACCGCGTTATCCAACTCCTAACTCCACTTTTTGCTTGATCTGTGAGCTTGGCAAGTTATTATCTCCTGGAACATCATGTACAAAATAGTCAAATTAATTATGTTGCAGGAGGTTAAGATGAAAAGGTGTTTTATACATACATATCATATATATACACACACACACACATTAGTATAATGCCCAGTATGTACTAAACACTTGCAGATACTCTGGAGATGATAGATTTTGTTATTATTACTATAACCCAAGTTCACCAAAGCCTCATCAGACTGTGTGTACAGAAAGGGTCTCATTGCCGGTTAAAATTAAAAATTCTCCGGCTCATGTTTCCCACCTGCATAATGTAGGACCTCAGCCACATTTTAAAGTGTCCTTTAATTAGGTGTTTCTAGCAACCCCGGGAACATCTCACATGAGCTCACAAATAATACTAATCATATTAATAGCTAACTTCATGTGTACCAACTGCCAGCACTGCCCTCAGTACTAAGCACTTTATATGCATCAACTCACTGAACTCACAGCTATCCATCGTCGGCTGTCTGTCAGCTACAGTTGTAGAAGATACTTGGCGCACAGGATAGAGAACGTTTTGCTTGCAGTCTTCCCGTGGCCTGGGGAGGAGCAGCTATTAGCCACCCTCTTCCTCTGGGCACCTGCCGTTGGTCCGCATGCCAATGTCAGAACAAACACGGTCGGCCGTTTCAGGATTCCAGCAGAAGCACGACCTAGACCAGCCGGGGCCCTCTACTGCTCACCACCACCGTCCCCACTGCCATGTCATCGTCATCACTTCTCATTATTCGTCTCTTTATCCACATTCCCATCAGTGCCCCCAACTTTCCTGCCCCCGGTCCTTCTATTGCATAAACCCTGCAAAACTGCACCCTTTGTTAAACCTACACCCTAATGGCTGAAGACAGCCAGAAAAAATGTCACAAACATGATACTTAGAGCCACTACAAGTGATGTCCTTTAACCCCAGCCAAGCCTTAGTAACCACCAGAGCTGCCTCTGACTTGTCCCAGGCAGAGAGCCCAAAACTTCACCCCAAATGTCACCACTGTCAACCTCATTCTTATAATAGCCCCCTCTTCATGGGGCTAGCCCAGTGGAACATAGTACAACTTCTTTTCTGTTTACTGAACAAAGTGTGAGTGTAATGTTTTACACACATGTATGTATGAGTGTGGAATATTTATAAAAAGATTTACTTCATCTTCCCTGGATACAGTAAGCTACGTGAGTAGAAACTCCCTCATCTTCCTCCCCATCACCTTGTTCATGGCGACCTGGCTGTGGTCACCTCTCCCCCAGGTCTGCTCCACCGAAATTCATGGGCTGAGATCCACACTCGCAAGTCCTCTTTCCAGAAGCTGTTTCCAATTCCAGCTGTTGGTCCAAGATGGTATCCAGAGGGGTCCTTCGGTCCAACCCATAGCCCAGGGAATAAGGCCTTCCCAGCTGCCATCTGAGCCAGCCACATGGCTGATGGAAGAGGAATTACTAGGGAAAGTGGGGAGGAGAGGCACAGCCTACTGACACACCCCCACACCTCATTATGATCTGGAGTACACGTATCAAGATAAACGTCTGTGTCTGGGCAGGAGGGGGATGCCTGGTTAGAACCTCAAGCTGACTTCCTTCCTTCCTTAAGTCCTTCCAAGACTGCACACTTCCTAGTATTAGTCATTCCTACTAACTCCCCAGGTCTCTGGTCTGATAGCCCATTTATTGAAGCCCAGGGACCCCTGCCTTATGCTATGGTCTCCTTCTCCCTATCCCAGAATCCCTGGATTCCTGGAGTGGGTCTATTCTGCTATCAGAACCATGGCCTTGATGATATTCTCCCATGCTCAATATCTTTGTAAGTGTAAGCTCCATTGCTTATTAACTGGCGGCCTGAAACAAGTTGCCTAACTTCTCTGAGTATCAGCTTCCTCACCCATCAAAGAGGGACAGTGATGGATGAGTTGTTGCAAAGGTTAGTAAATAGGTACAGCCCCTAGCAGAGTACCCCTGGCACGTAGTTTGATCCACCCTCTTCCGTCTGGTCGCCTTCTTCCTGTGTAATTGGTACTGCACTCACTGTGCCCTTGTTTGGAAAGGAGAAGTGTAGGGACCCTTCTTCGTGGGGCTAGCCTAGTGGAGCATAGTACAATTTCTTCTCTGTTTACTGAACAAAGTGTGAGTGTCATGTTTTATACACATATATGTATGAGTGTGGAATATATATAACGTGAATATTTGTGATGTGTATGTGTGTCCTGTATACTCTGCAGTCCATGGCAAAGAATGGAGATACTCTACACTCTGCAAGTTCATAGAACACCATAGATGGAGATGTAGCCTAATGAGGACTTACACGCTGAGGCAGGTCTGGATCCTTAGGAAGAGAAGAATTGGCCTCATCCATGCAGAAGCTGTGTATGTCTCTTTGTCTCTTAGAAAGATCCAGGGCTCTGCCAATGCTGAGGATTTGGGTCTCTTAGGAGCTGTGGCTTCAGGGGTCCTGCTTTGGGAGTTAAGGGGAGGCCATGAGAACCCCACATAGAGAGATGTTGCCAGACTCAGCTGGGCTTAGCACAGTGAAATCCACTCTATGAAGTCAACCCTTCAGCTGGTCCAAGACAGAGAGATCGGAGCCTTTCCCCACATCCTGCCAACATCTCAAGTGGGAAGCAAAAACAGAATGGATGAATCTTAGGGAATATTTAGTTTCAAATTAAAAAATCCATTCAGACCAACTTATTCAAAAAATGGGGTAATCAATTATAAGAATACAAGAAACATAAACCCACTCAAACAATTTGAGACCAAAAGGAGACTTTATTTTAAGAAAGCAACTATCAACCAAACTAAGTTAAGCTGAAAAAGGATTCTATATTTTAACAATACGGATAATAAAAACTCACTCTAACTTAACACAAAAAGGTAAAATACTTTTAGAGTACAAGAGCCCAAGGGCAGGAAACTCCCAAGAGTCTGAAGTTAGGATGGGAGTTGCAAGCACAAGGGGCAAGGGCAGATCGGGCATTTTTATTCATTTGTTCATTCAATAAATATTAATCGAGCACCTACCCTGTGCCAGACAATAAATATTAATTGAGCACCTACCCTCAGCCCCTGAGGACATGGCAGGGAACCAAAGTCCCTACCTCCATGGAGTTCACACTCTAGTGATGTCCAGACTGAGAAAAATGGTCATGGTGTCTACCCTAATGCAGCTTAAAGGTGAGCAAAGGAAACAGACAATTAATAAGCAGACAAGCAGGAAACGAGAAGTTAGGAAAGAAAAGAGAAGGCTACTCTGAGATAGGAAAATGGGCACCCACTTCCAAATGGCTGATACAGGCCTCACTGAGAAGGGGCCATTTAGACAGAGCCCTGAAGGCTGAGTAGAAGCCCTCTGTCAAGAGTGACGCATGGGGGTGTTTCAGAGGGAAGAGTTCAAAGCACATGGTCAGAGAATCTGAAATAACTCAGGAAAGGCCAAGGTGAGTCAACTATTACAAGAAGGTACTAACAGGGTGTCTATTTTCTCTTTCAAGCCCTTGAAAGTAACACTGTGGGCCTGGGAGCCATGACCAGATTTCCACACCCACTCCCACCCCACCCCACCACCCGCCACTGCCACAGGTCTTTATTTTTAAATTCAAAATGGAAATATCCTCATTTTTGCCTATTTTTAAAGTAACATATTTCTCGGAAAAATTCAAACAATACAGAAGCATATAAGATGTACTCTAGGGCCGGCCCGGTGGCACACTGCTACAGTGCGCCGCTTGGGAGTGTGGTGGCGCTCCCGCCGAGGGTTCGGATCCCACATACAGACCGGTTCCCGCTCACTGGCTGGGCGAGGTGCGGGTGCGGCACCGAGGGTTGCGATCCCGTTGCCGGTCCCGGTCCAGTACGGGCGAGACACTGAGGGTTGCGAT